ACATCAATAAAAGTGATAATCCTGTAAGATCAACAGCAAGAAGGAAAAGAAAGAGGAAAAGAAATGAAAAGAAAGAAAGGAAGGAAGGAAGGAGAGGAAGAAAAGGCAAATTAGAACTGAAACAAGGGATCCCACTATGGAACCTGTGGAAATCAAAAGATAGTAGTTAAATACTATGAGCAGTTCTGCACGCACAGATTTGACAACTTAGACAAGGTAGATGAATTTATCAAAAGCACAACTTGCTCAACGTGACACAGATTGTTTGAATAGCTTTACAGCTATGAATAAATTCGTAATTAAAACCTGCTGAGAAAGAAATTTCTAGAACCAGAAAGTTTTCTACAAAATTCATTCAAGTGTTTAAAGAAGACTTGACACCAATTTTAACACTTCTTCTGGAAAATAGAAACCTTCCCAATGATTTGGCCTTCCCAAATCATTTCACGAAATGAGTACTACCTGATACAAAACTAGACAGATATAGTACAAAAAGTAGATAAATGTGACTACACCAGACATCCCTCTTGAATGTAGATGAAAAAGCCTTCACAAAATATTAGTAAACAGAATGTGGGTTTTAGTCCAGAGATGCAAGGCTGGCTCAGTACTTGAGGTCCATCCATATAATCTACTACATTAAATGTCTAAAGAAGAAAACAACCATATGACCATGTCACTTGGTAGAGAAGAAGCATTTGACACAACAGCTATTCATGATAATTCATGATAAAACTCTTAAAAAATATAGAGAGGAGTTCCTTCAACTTGATGGAGTATCTACCCAAAAAGAATAAATAAATAAATAAAACCAGAAGAAATCCACAGCTAACGTGTCATGAACCCCCAAACACTGAATATTTCCACGTAAGAATGGGAACCTAGTGAGGCTGCCTATGTACTCCACTCATAAGCAGTAGCTACTGGAAGTCCCAGACGGCACAGGAAGGAAGTAGAAATGAAATTAAAAGCATACAGCTTGGGCTGAGTGTGGTGGTGCACACCTGTGATCCCAGCACTTTGGAGGCTGAGGCAGCAGGGTCGCTGTGAGTTCGAGGCCAGCCTGGGCTACATAGTGAGACCAATATGAAGACTGGAAAGGAAGCAATAAAACAGCTCCTGTTTGCAGATGACGTGATAGACTATGTCGAAAATGCCAAGGAAATCTCCAAAAACAAAACAAACTGGAAAAAACCCTCCTAGAAAAAGAAATGAGTTTAGCAAAGTTGCAAGATGCAAGATTAACATTGAAACCAGTCCTGTCTCTGTGGTAGCAATAAACACACGAGAATCAAAATATAATGCCATTTACTCTTGCTGTCTTTCTCCCCCAGAAGTGTTTACACACAAACCCCAGAACAAACACAACACACACACACATGCTGATAACCACAAGACACAGATGAAATAAATCCAGACTGACATAAATGGAGAGACGTGTAAAACTCATCAGTGTAAAGGTGTCAGTTCTCCCACACGTGAGACATAGTTTTTTACTATAGCTCCTACCAAAACCCCACACATTTTATGGATCTAGACAGGCTTATTCTAAAGTTTCTACGGAACTAGAATAGCTAAAGCCCCTTGTGAGAGAGGGATGGAAGGGAAGGAAGCAGTCCAGCTGACTTCAGCTCTGTTCCACCACTCTCACAGGGGAGGTTGGGTGGTGTGGGCAGGGGGACAGACCGAAGGTGAGTGGGAGAGAACAGAGACCCGGAAGTCACCTAGCGCAGGGAGCTCTGACAAAAGCTCCCAAGCAACCTAAGGGAGACAGGACAGTCTTTCAGCAGGTGGAGCAATCCCATGCTCAAAGGCAAAATAGATACATAAATAAGGGACCTCAGTAAGCCAGGCACAGTGGCGCTGCTGGTGATCTAGTGCCGTTTCAAACTCTCATTGCAGTGGTTGTGCCTGGGGTCGTCCTGTGCCTTAGTTTCCTTTTCTCTTTCTCTCACCACCCCCGACCCCGATACTGAGAACTGAACCCAGGGCCTTTGCACTGAGTTGCATTTCCTGCTATTTTTTTTTTTTTAGGAAATTATCAATGGTTATCATTTTCATATTGTTATCTACAAGATAGTTTCTCAGGAAAACAAATAGACAAATAATAGTGAGTTACAGACAAAAGAGGTAAGAGATTATCAATAGTTGTTGTACTATACTTTGGTATCTTCAAAGTGGCTTCTAAAGAAAATAAATAGAGCTATACATGAGTGACCTATTGAATAATCATTAACTATTCTCAATGGTTGTTGTAGGAAACACATAATAATAAACATATATCCATTTACGAAATAGGATAGGAACAATACAAACACTACAGAGTTATGGATAGATTAGTAGGAAAATATCATTGGCTGCTGTAATACATGGTGGTATCTTCAATGTTTTTTTGAGGCAATGTCTTGCCAAGTTGCTCAGCCTGGGCTCAAACTTGTGATCCTCCCGCCTCAGCCTCCCAGAGTGGTGGGGTTACAGGAATGTGTCACCGTCCCTTAGTTCATGAGCCTTAGTTCTTCAGGGGGCTCCCCCAGGTCTGGGGAAGCACAGGTGCTGCTGGGACCTGTGCAGTGCAGCGGAGGAAACTGAGGCACGAGCCGGTCAGGGTCTGCAGCACGCGTCACTGAGGTCTTCGTGTGGTCCCACAGCGTTTCCGCAGCCCGGGTGGCTGAGACAGGAAACTCCCGGCGCGAACCCTTCCCCTTGAAGGAAGCCGCTGTCTCCTTGGGGAGTCCCCACCACCCATATCCACCTCCATATTCCCCGGGATTCTGGCCCATCCCGCTCCGCTCAGCGGAAGCTTGCTGGGACTGCATCTGGGACCACTCTGGCCCTGTGGGTGGGGCTGCGCACCAGGACCCCGGCCCTGGGGGGCCGCAGAATCTGTGGGCGCCGCTGTCCGGGCCCTGCAGGTCTCCAGCGCCGTGCGCGCACAGCGCCACCTGCTGGCGGGCGGGCCGCGGCTGGGGCTGGACGCCACCTGCGGGTTCCTGCGGAGCTGCCCCAAGCGTCCTGGGTCACCCAGTCCCCGGGACACTGGCAGCAACCTCAGAGCCGGGCCACACCTCAGACACAGGCGCCTCCTGAGGCTGACGGACCCGCCCCGCTCAGGGAGTCCCCAGGAAGCAGAGCCGGGGCTCCCTCTCCTGCTCTCCACAGGCGGCCTGGGTGGGGCGGAGTCCTGTGTCACGCTCAGCCTGGCGGCCCCAGGGACCACTACGTGGTCAGGCAAAAGGAAGTCCTCCAGTCGGGCTTGCGCCTCTGCAGGCCTCAGTTCTCCGCGAGAGCCGTGCAGTTGTCTGCTGCCGTTGGAGTACTACCGGTAAAGGAAATTACCTGTGCACGAGTTCTAGTGGCTTGGATGGCCTTTGCCACCTGCTTCCCGTGCCCGCACCACTGATTAGACCTTACTGGGACCGAACGGCCGCTGGGAGCAATAGCTTCTCAGCTGTGAGGGACCGGCGGGCAAGGGGCTTGCACCACTTAGGTGCATCCTAATATCGGGGATGTTATCCATTACAGTGGACGGTATTCACGTCACTGCGACGACAGCAGTGCTCACGGTTAGTTGAGTGTTAATCTCACTACATCTTCACACAGCCTATGCGATAGGGCCGGCAGACACCACGTTTGTGTAGGTTATCGAGCGCCATCTACAGACCCGCCCAGACTTAGCGGCTTTCAGACAGCAGCGCTTTATGATTGCTCAGGGTCTGCGGGCTAGAAATCCAGGCCAGGCTCAGCTAGGGGCTTCTCTTCCTTCTCACGTGCCGCGCCCATCTGGCAGCTGGGCTCGTGTCCCCAGCGCAGGAGGGACTCACATATCTGTCCCCGCAAAGCCCCCACATGGCATTTTTTCTTCTCTGGGGGCCCTTGTTATTCAGCTGCCATCCTGGCCTCCTTCATAGCGGGCAGCTGGCTTCCTGGAGACCCCAGAAGTAGAGGATGCTTAGGGTAAGTGGCCAGGCCGTCCCAGGTCCAGGGAGGGCAGCAGACTCCAGACCTCTCATGGCCGAAGCCGTATACACAGGACTCTTGTGTGGGAGCTCACAGCCCAAAGACTTTCCCAGAGAAGTCGCGGAAGGCCAACGCTCTATGGACTATTCCAGGTCTCCCGTGTAGTTCCCCGTTTTGTCCACCAGGGGACGGTCGTCTCTTCCTAATGGCTGAGACCGCCCCGCTCCCCGCTCCTGATTTGGGGTTTTCAGCTTGGGAAAGGTGGTTGACCTGGAACTGTAAATACAATCTCACGCCAGATGTTGAAGAGTTAGCACACGACACAGAAGGCAAACTATCTCTTGGTACATGCAATACACTGTTTACATGTTGAGTTGGTATTTTTAGCACTGGATTAGAGATATTGTAAAATTTATTTTATCTATTTATTCTTAGAGTTTTAACAATGGAGCTACTTAAAAATTAAAAATCCCACATGTGACTAACTTTGTATGTTTATCAGACAGCACTGGTGCAGTGACTTTTCCTAAAGGCAAACCCCAAAGTAACTCTGAAGAACATTAGGGTTCCAAGGAACCCAGTTTGAAAACCATTAGGGTGCTGGTGAGCTTGGGTCACTCACGGCCCGCCTGTGCAGGGTGGGTAGTTGCCCACCACCCACTCGTGCACATGGGACCAGTGACTGTACTGATCAGCAGCAGGGAGCAAGGCCGGGGGACCCTGTGCCTGACCCAGAGCTGTCAATCCAGGATCCAGCTGTGGCACATGTGGAAGTCTGGATGTGGGGCCCATGGGTGGGGTGTGTCCAAGTGAGAGACACTGCGGTCCCCAACTTGTTCCTCTGCATCTCAGCGGCCACAAGCAAGGGGCAGCGCAGGGTTCCCGCCATCCCTGAACCCTGGGATTCTGGTCAGAGGAGCTGTATGTGTCCAGGCCCCGGATGGCCAGGGTGGCTTGGGCAGTGCTGCCTGTGCCTGCAGCCTCAGCGGCCCTGGTCTGGAACTGAAGCAGTTCCGTGTCACCAGACCGAGACCGAGATGTGCTCAGAGTCACAGGATGAGGACTTCCCTACCCTGGTGCTGTGGCCACCCCTTATGCAACTCCGGGCTGGTGGCTATGCCACTCCGAGGCTCCACTGGTCACTGGTGCCAGGCTGTTCAAGGGTGCGGTCCACGCTCGGTGGCTGAAGAGGTCGTTTACTGTCCCACCCAGTTTCTGTGGGTAGGAATGGGGGGAAGCCAGCAGAGAGCCCTGGCTTCCAGTCTTTCCTGGTGGGGAGGGGTCTGGCAGTCCTCTGGAGCTGCAGTCGCCAGAGGTGTGGCTGGGACCGGGGCACCTGCACCCAAAGTCTCGGTCCCTGGCCACCAGGGGGCGCTCTCGCACGGGCTGCTTGAGCGAGCGTTGCCCTGGTGGCCAGCTTTGCCCAGCGAGCCCCCCAGGAAGGCGATCATCGAAACACAAAAGCAACAGTTCAGGCTGAGGGTGTGGGGCAAAGGCGCCCTCTACATTGCCAGTGGGAGTGCCAACTAGTGCCACCCTGGAGATCGGGGCGGCGATGCCTCAAAAAACCAAATTCCCTTTGTACGTCCTCTGGGTTTCTTCCCACAGGGAGTGGAAGACATCACGCTGCAGTGACCTGCGTGTACCCAGCTTGACAGCAGTGCAATTCACAGTAGTTCAGCCACAGAAGCAGCCTAGATGCCCATCAAAAGGTGAGTGGGGAAAGACACCTGTAGGCAATGCTCCCTGCCCGCCCACAGAGCCGCCATTAAGCAGCTTTCTTTGCAGACCTGCTGCAGGGCACCCATAACCACGGGCATAGTCTGGACAGTCGAGGCAGTGGCTGCTGCAAACAGTGGCTCCGGGGGCTGCTGGCCCTGAGATTCCAGGGACCCTGCGAGGAGGTGGGAAGCTTGGTAGCCCAGGGGCCTCCCGCCTCTTGTTTCTGGGGGAAGGGACAATGAGGTGCAGCTAGTGCAGCGCCTGGCAGTGTGGCCCCCACATACCAGTGCTCACAGAAGGCAGCCAGATGGGTCCCAGGCCCAGGAGGTCCAGGATGCAGTCTGGACCCAGGTAGAGGTTGAGTTGTGTGCTCACCTTGGGCTCTGAGGCTCAGATGAGGTTTCTCTTCGAGACTCCACGTGCCTGCTTAAACATGTAAGTCTCTTGCAGAACTCCCCAGGTAATCTGTCCCCAAAACTCTCCTCCTGAGCCCTTAAAACAGCCACAAAAGGAAGTTAGGTATTTTGGATACTCTGCAATGATTAGAAAATTCTTCTGGACCCTAATTCTTTTCTGGTGCCTTTATGCTCACAGCTCGATGATGACGTACTGGTCACCACTGCTGTGTAACAAATGACTCCAAAACACAGGCATATAGCATGACAATCATCCTAACTATGTACTAGGAATTCAGGAAAGACTCCACTGAGTTTTCCAGCCATGGAATTTCTCAGGACGTGGGCTGGGGCTTCTGTTGTCTGAAGGTCAGGCTGGAATGGCTGTCTGAGATGGCATAAGGCTCATAAGTGGAAGCCAGAGCCAGCTGTGGGCTGGGAGCCTGCAGGGTTTGCACTGAAAACCAGGCCTGAGGCTGCCGGGCACGGTCAGCTGTCCACCTGCTGTGCTGAGGGTCCCGCTTTGTAACTCAGCGGTCTTGTTACCGTTTACAGCGCTCTGAGTGAGGTTTCTGTTACTTATGGTTGGAGATGTCCAAAGAGGGATCCACCCTGATCACTGAGAGGGGCATTAAGGGAGATGTAGCTGAGTGCCCCTGGCCCGGGCTGCAGACATCGGCTATGGGCCCTGACCTGGTTCCCGCCCTGATTTCCTTGCCGTCCTCTGCTGCCACTTGGGCCAGAGTCTGCTCCTCTTCTGAGGTATCAGGACTACAGCTCTGGCTCCTGCTGTTGTTCTAGAGCATTCTCGTCTGCGCTTACCCTCTGGATTTGAGAGGCCCTCTGTGCCCCTGGGGCCTCCTTGTTGGGCTCAGCCCTGCTCCCTCTGTGCCAGCTTGCTGGGCCCCAGGGCTGGGGCTTACCTGGTTTGGTCTGTTACTCCAGTACGCAGATGCCAGCCCTTGCAGGAGCAGCTGGACCAGACTTCCTCCCCGCACCTGCAGCTGTACAGGTGAGACCTGCACCTCTCGCCGTCCATGGCGTCATCCTGAGAGATGTTGGTGCCCGGCTCCCTGGCAGACACCCAGGGGAAATGCTTGGCGGAGGATGCTAACCTCCACCTGCAAGGCCCGCACGCTCCCGGGGCGAAGGTTGCGTTCTTGCTTCTCCATGCTTCCTCCTGTTTCTCCTCTGCTGGTGGGGAGGGAGTCACATGGGGATGGGGTCCAGTAGCTTAGGTCACTGGCAGCATCTGGGCTGTGGAAGGCGACAGCGTGATTCACTTAAGAGTTCTGGAAAGAGCCAGGAAAAGCAGCCGCACACGGATGCATCCTGCCAACCTGGTGTCGCGGGGGATGGTGGGTCTCTGCTGTTCTTCCCTGGCCTTCCCCAGCCACCACGCCCTGCCTGCTCTGTGCCACCCGAAAGCGCCGTCCCTCTGGAGAAAGTCAGGGGCAGCCCAGTCTCCACCCTTGCAGACGCGAATTCTCCAGACTCTTCCTCAGAGGATCCTCAGTCCGGCAGCCACCAGGACGCTTCCTGCCAGCCCCGCCGTTCCCTCGGAGGGTTGATCGCTGCCTAGACAAGAGGTGACCAAGGTGTAAGGTCCATGGCAAAGAGCGGGGCCTGGCAATGCCGGTCTCAGTGTTTCCTGGGGCGGTTCCAGCTTGCTGGGACGGAGGGGCTGTCGCCTTGGCCCATGGTGCAGGCCGTCCCCTCTCATCACAGTATTGCCCTCGAGTTCTTTTTTTTTTAAACACAAAAATCCAACTTTATTGAACATAGGAATAAATGGATTTTCAAATTAATTATTCTTATTTTAAGGTTATTAATTTTGAAGCTGTCTGATTCATGGTAGAACTTACTAACTGGTACTATGTGAAGATGCTTTTCCATTACTGCAATCTTATGTTCATAAACAAATATATTTAAATCTAGATAGAAACATGTGTGATTGGATTAGTGCATGGTAATCCCTGCTGTTTGCCCTGCTCAGCCGGCAACAGGGGATCATCTGCTCTGCAGCAAATTTGAAGCACAAGCACATATTCGAATTTTATACAAAAAATCAGTTTTACTTACTCTTACACTAGTGGGAGCTGACATCTGTAACTTACAGGCAAGCGTATACTTTTCCACCTCCTTGCTGAACAAAAATATGCATAATGTATTGCTTTCATTAGGCAAGACTTGCTTGTTATATTTCAGTGAGAATACCGTGTGAGCCTTTCAGGAACAAAGTGACCGGGGTACTAATGGAACCATCTTTGGAGGAACTACTTAATATGCGTACCTTATTTAAATAAATCCTCCAGTAAGAAATGGTGAAGTCACTGCCTTTACTTTGAAGGCTTTGTAGCCATCTGTCAAATCTCTATGTGCAGCTCACAAGCATCCTCTTATTGGAAATATCAGTACTTCCGTATTATAGGCTCAAAAGGACTTGAAAGTCTCAAAATTCTGTGTCTCCTTTGGCTTGCTTCTCTCTGGATTCCACCCAGGCTTTATCAATGGTTCGCTTCCTATCGTCATCTCCCACTTCATAAGTTTTCTTTGGAACACTCGTCAATCCCTCACTAGGATCTGTCTCAGCGTCGTAGGTGGCTTTTCTTTGTCTTTGCGCTCTTTTCCAGCCCGAGTGAAATGCTCCCAGGAAGTGTTTTCTGCTCTCTTTCTCCACAAGAGAACTGTATGAGTCCTGATTTTTAACTGCCTCCCACTGAGATGGGTTTTAAGAGATTGTTCACAGTCATAGTGTAGCTCTTCCATTTAGATTCTTTACCGAAAGACCGAATGACCTCTCTGTGGAATGCACCTGCACAGTCTCAGCAGGAGCTTGGTGGACTTCAGTTAAGGTAATGTAGATTTTCACAAACTTATCTGACTGAGCACATCTGTAACTACTGATCTTCACTGTGTATCTTCTTGCGATGGGAGCAACCACAGCAGCTGGTTTTTCGTCTTAAAGAAGTTCTGGTTTCTTATGTGATTTTTGTTGCATCTTATTCTTTTTATTTTTTTATTTTTTATTTTTTTTTGTCTTTTTGTCTTTTTGAGACAGGGTCTTGCTGTGCAGTTCAGGCTGGCCTTGAGCTCACTTTGTAGCCCAGGCTGGTCTTGAACTTGCAGCGATCCTCCTGCCTCAGCCTCCAGAGTGCTGGGATTACAGGCATGTGCCGTCACGCCCGGCGCATCTTATTCTTTATTTCTGTTTCAATCTTGGATTTTTAAGCTGTAGGGGCATCGCGTACTCTCTTCCTAGTAGCTTTCTCCAGCAAGGCCTTTACCTCTTCTAGATCATCCTGCAGCTCCTCCAAAGCCGAAGCCTTGGTCGGGCTGGGTCTGGTCGAAGGCCCAGGCTGCAGGTGTGCACACGAGGACAGGAACCGCCTGATCTGGCACACTCCCCAGGGGCGCGGACCTCACCAGCACCACACCGCGGCCCCGCCCTCTGCACGTGGCGACCCTGGCACTTTCTGGAGGCCGCCCTGCTCTGGAGTTCTTTCCTGCCGTGGGTCTCGGGGCACCCCGAAGCAAGGCTGCTGTCCTTGGAGGCCCCCTGTGTGCTCTGGGCCCCAAGGCCTTTGCTTCCTTTCCCGGATCTTCTCCCTCTCCTGCGGGAAAACTGCTCCTCCTGCAGCCCCTGCACGAATGGGGCTCCCTGGTGTCCAAAGCCATTCCCCCGGTGCCTCAGACTCCAGCCCAGAGCCTGGGACCCTGAGACCTGGGGGGTGACAGCTCTTTCTGATGTTGGCACCTTCCATATCCCAGCTCGGCCAACTGTGAGGTCCCTTTGGTTACTACCAGCGGCATGCTTCGTGACAGGAGTTCAGGGCCAGAGGCTCACTCACATTTCCCCAACAGTGCGTTATGGGCTGCGCCCTCCCGCCGAACACACGCCTGCGCAGGCAGGCGCCGGTCCACCCCACCGCCTCCCGGGGGCGTGATAGAGTCCACGCTGATTTCAGGGGCTCTGAGGTGTCCCTCGAGGCACGGAGGCCCGCCTGACGATGTGCAGAAGAGGGATCGGCGAGCCACCGAGTCAGTCTCGGGCTGGTCCCGCGCTTCCTGGCCAGGCCCGGACAGGGCCGCGGGCAGCGATCCTAAGGCTCTGCCGTCTAAGGCCCCCGCCGAGGTGCGTGGGGTTTCTCCGTGCCTCCCACGTGGATCCATCTGCGCGTGCACTGAGCCAGTGACCCGAAGGACGGCTACCAAGCAGGGCCAGAGGAGGCCGAGCACCGGGGGAGCCCCGGGGTCTGCCCTTCTGAGCCCCTCTGAAGAAGCCCTGGCAGCGCCTGCATCGGGCGCCTCGCTCCCCGCAGCGTGTGGCTGCAAAGGGACCCGACAGCGTTTAGACTATGCTTTTGCTGCGATACCTAAATAGCTCATCGCTCATTGGATGCGGGGGGGGGGGGGGGCTCAATGAGGACCAAATTGTTCGGGCTGGAGAGGGCGGGGAGTCACGAGGCAGCGACCCTGATGAGCTCTGCGTGTGCGTCGACCGAGTTCCAAAGAAATGACAAGGACAGTTTTGCCCCAAAGTGTCAGCAGTACCCGACTCGGTGCGTTTCAAAGCGGTCGCATGTGAAGGTCTGACTGTATTTTAAAGTCAAGCGCAGATAAGAGAGTGCAGGATGCTCTAGCCGCTACATCAGTGGTAACAAACTTCGTCCTCTGGCTTCCAAGGTGTTGCCCCGTGGCTGGGCACCCTTCACATGCGCACCCCGGGCATCCCAGCTGCTCGACACCTGTCCAGGGCTCGCGCAACCCCTACCCGGCCCTGGTCCACCTCTAGCTCCTTTCCCAAGGGGCATGTGCTCCTTGGTGTGCCTATCAGGGCACTGCCCGTTGGTTAAGGGAAGCTGCTTCTGCTCCAGCCATCCCTGTGGCCATGGCGATGAGCATGTGACCTGCCTCGGCCAATCAGAGCAGCCTTCACCCTTTGACTAAAGAGTGTGGCCTTGTAGGGGGCAGGGACTGCAGAGCTGACCAGGCACCTCTCTCAGACTGGCTTCTGTCCCATGTGTGGGAGCTGCTCTCTGCTCCTGGTGCTGCCTGTAGGTGTGGCTTTGGCCCTGTGAGGACCGCGGAGTGAAGAGCATGAGTCCAACATGCGGAGAGAGTCAGAGACATCGCTGGTGCAGACTCCGCTCATGTAGACCCCGCCTCAGATTCCTGTGTGGGAGTCCCGAGAGCTGGGGCAGTTGAGGCTGCGGTGGAGCCACCCCGGCTATGGCGGATGGTGGAGAGAGAAAGCCCTGACCGTATTTGATCCCTCCGCAGCTGCGTCTGAGCCCAGCTCCATCTCTGAGCTCGGGGTAGCTTCAGAGTCCGCAGTTTCCCTGTTCTGCTCAAGCTGGTTTGGGCTAAGTTTCTGATCACTTGCTTACCCTCCACAAGGCCGACTTTCCCACCTTCTAGGGGAGGGGCAGCCTGTGCCGCTGGGCCCTGGGGCTCACTGTCCAGGACTGCGGTCACCCACTCTGCCCTCCTGATGCAGCCCAGCACATCCAGTCTTGGTCTGTCACTGAGGCCCAAACAGAGACCCTCTACCCCAGCATGCTGGCTGGGGTGGCACCCCTACCCGCCTTAGCCTGACACCGACACCGCTGGGTGTGGCCCCAGCTGCTGGCTCATGCGTTCTGCAAGCCAGCTAAGGTCTGCTAAGGATTTGGGCTTTTTATTTTCCAACGTGTCCTTGGCTTGGACAAAAAATATTACCAAGCACAATATCACAGTAGCCAGAAGCAACTTCAGCTTCCTGGGAAGGAGGATTTCCTCTCTGGGACCTGAAGCTGACCTCCCCGCCACCGCCCGGGCCACCGTGTCCTGGTTCTGTCCCCCTATCCTCTCCTACCCGTCCTCAAGCTGTGCTAACAGGGCTGTGACCTCCAGGGATCTCCCATGCGTGGGGCCTCGGGCAGGGCCAGGCATCTGCTGCCCCGTACCCCAGAAATGCCCTCACTCTGCACTTCCTGTGGATGTGCCCATGTGACTGACACAGTCTCAGCCTGTGGTCTTGGCCTGGGAACCCCCAGGATCTTTAAATATGCTTTCTGCACAGAGGAGACTAGAAGCATCACCCTCAAAGGCTTATTTCCACCTCCCCAATGAAGAGGCCAAAAGCAGCAGATGTGAAGGCCCTGGTTTCCATCCCCAGGACCACACACACACACACACACACACACACACACACACACACACACAGAGAGAGACAAAGGGGCTGGGGATATAGCTTAGTGTTACAGCACCTGTCTGGCAAGTGCAAGGTCCTGAGTTCAATTCCTGGTACCAGCCAAACAAAGAAACAAAAAACCAAACCAAACCAAAACACAACATTGGGTAGACCTTACCTCCAACAGGACTGGATGTCTTGGAGGTGAAGCAGAGATTTAGGGGTTTCTCAGGCCCCTGAGAAGCAGGGGGTTTCCTAAGAGGGTCATTAGTGAGAGCAGTGTTGAGGGGTGTTTGATGTCACCAGCAGCTTGGGACATTAAATCCTACCCCAGGAGCTGGGCAGCTGTGGCTTTTCCCATGTGTCCCCCTCCATCACTCTCCCCTGTAGACCACAATCACCCCAATTCCTCCAGGCTCAGGCCCCAGTGGGAGCTGGTCTGACCAGCAGAGACTGCAGATGTCCTGTCATTCATCCTCTCCCAGAATAACCCTACCTCTGGCTTTAGCAGGTCACAGGGCCACCGGATGGGCACTGGCGTTGCAGCCTCTCTCACCCCTGGTCGAGGCCCAGGATCTAATTGGGCCCACGGCATCGAGTGGCTGGAGTGTCCAGACTCTGCCCTGGAAGGAA